GACGGGAGATTATATGGGGAAAGCCCTAACATTCTGCGGTAACAAACATCTTATGAGGGCAGACTACAAGGATACAGATGGGAAGTAGACTACTAGGGCTGGTCACAGCCTTCCTGGTTGAAGGAATTTCCCCAATTCCCCCAGGAATCAATTGCCTCAAGCTGCTTCTTTTTTAAAAAAATAAATGCTTGCTTACAAAATCCACCAATTAAGAATTGGTGCAGTGTATTGATTATATTACCATACTGTATAGCTGAATCAAGGACCTCACGGCACAAGAGCATTTTAAAGGGCAATCCTAACTTGGACTAGACAGGAGTGAGAAGCTGGACATGCAGCTAGGCATCCCAAGACATTTGGCTCACACTCAGCCAGGATGGCCACTGAATGGCTCTTCCTTTTCTTTGTGCTATGCCAGCTCCAGACTGGCGCAATGGAGGGGCCTAGGAATGGAACTCCTCAGAGGGATCTCTAGGGCAGGGGTCAGCAACCTTTTTTAGCCGTGGGCCCACCATCCCTCAAACCATGTGGTGGGCTGGACTATATTTTGAAGGGGGGGGGGGAATGAACGAATTCCTATGCCCCACAAATAACCCAGAGATGCATTTTAAATAAAAGGACACATTCTACTCACGTAAAAACACGCTGATTTCCAGACCGTCCGGGGGCTGGATTTAGAAGGCAATTGGGCCGTATCCGGCCCCCGGGCCTTAGGTTGCCTACCCCTGCTCTAGGGAGTGCTGGATGCAAAGCCACTTGGTGCTGTTCCCTGAAAACAGCCTACCACACCAACAACCCTTTCCAGTGTCAGATAACAACATTGGGCAGGGAAGGACTGCATTATTAAGTCTCAAAACAACCCTGTGAGGTAGAAGTTGGTTAAGCCGAAATGTAAAACCTTGCCTGTGATCTATCCAGCAAACGTCAAAGCGCAGCAGGATTCTGAACCTGGTATTCCAACTTCCAAACTCATCCCTCTAGTTGAACCATGATGCCAAAGCAGCTATCCATTAAATAGTAACCATTGACTACGGCAGCTGTTGTGGTGCCTGCCGGATGTTGCTGGACTGCAACTCCCATCATCCCTTACCATTGGCCATGCAGGCTGAGGCTGCTGGGAACTGGAGTCCCAAAAAGCATTTGATGGACAGCACACCAGCCATTCCTGTAAACAGAGAGGTGCATAGGCTGCAGCATCAGTCCTTGTCCATTCCAGAAGGCCAAAAGCTCAATTTGTTACCCGTGTGATGTTCTTAGATCTATATAAGCACATAGGAGGAGGATCAGACCATAGGCCTGCCTAGTCCTGTACCCTGACTCTCAAAAATGGGCAGCCACATGCCTCTGGGAAGCCCTTAAGCAGAATCCACGGGGGCAACAGACCTCTCACTGCTGGTACCCGGACTGTGATCTGGGATGTGGCATATATGTATCAAAACTAGCAGCCATTAAAGGCCTACCCTTCCAAGAAAAAACTGCCTTAAATCAAGTCAGGCTATTAGTGTATTCACATTGACTGGGAAGCAAGTCTGCAGGGTTTCACACAGGTGTCTTTCCCTCTGCTACCTGGAGATGCCAGGGATTGAATTTGAGATCCTTTGCATGCAAGACAAGTGCTCTAGCCCTGAGCTACAGCCCTCCCCACACTACTCTACAGCCTAGGCAGAATGGCTCAGACCAGAGGCACCTGTTTTGGTCAGTTCCACCTATTTTTCAGACGTCAGATGTTCTCTGCTTGTGCAACCACAATAATGTGTCATTCCACGAAACTAAAATACATGATGACAGACGGGGGGTAAGGAGGGTGGAAGAGGAGAATGGCTGGGTCAGCCTCACAACAGGAAAGTGAGTCATGTTGGCTACACACATTCCCTGTGGCTGGCATTCAGAACATTGACGAGCTTAGAAGAGAGACTTCATTCATCAGCATAGCAATATATTAACGAGCTGGTAGCTGAAAGACCAAGTAGAAATCAGGAAGTCCTTGGCTTTAAATGTTTTGCCTCTATGAGGCAATTTTAAGCATGCCACTCTCTGGGACCCCAATCTAGGTTGGAAACACTAGTATCCCACCTTATAGGTTTGTTGTTAGGGCTGGGTTTAAGGACCTGCGATCGAAGCGAATCCCGAGGGCTCTTAAAACTTATTTTTGTGGTAAACCACACTGATGCTGATAGAAAATGCTTCTGTTTCAGGCAGATGTATTTAGGATCAGTCTGAGAATTAGTGGGTTTTGCTCAAAAAACTACCTATTTCAGCAAACCACATTGTCAGGAAATGTGGCTGTGAAACTGTTAAAATTATGCCCCGAGTCAATTGGCCATTACAATTACCTGATTCCCCTCCCCCCCCCCAGCAAGTGGCCCATGTCACTATTTTCAGCTATTATCTTTCTAGATAATGCAAAAAATATAGAAAAATGCCAATGTACATGTGACAATCCTTGACACTCAAGATAATTCATTACCATCTGGATTCCTGTCCCCAATAAAAGAAAACAGAGGTGCCTGGATTCTCCCTCACACCCCAAACAACAACAGGAATCAGCTGAAAAGAATGTAACAAAAACCTTATTTCCGCCTCTTTGATCTTTAGCTATTCCCCAAAATAGTCAAGTCGTTACTCAAAGCCACCCAATTTATGTATTAGTTTTAAAGTCTTCCACAGGTATCCCCATTTGAGGGTTTTTTAAGTGTCCCGAAGAAACCAAATATAGATTACAAGTGCACTCCATTTAGCCATGGTTTCATTTCTGAATGAAAATCTAGCCCTCAAAAGTCGTGATGTATAAAAGGTTTTTGAAAACCATAAAGACACATTAAAATGATTACAGCGGATTAAAGTGGGGGGGGGGGAGGAGGAGCTTTTGGAGCCAAGCAGTTTTAAAAGATTTCACAACCAGAACGATTAGCATAGCTGTGGCAGACATGGAACACTGGGTAAGAATCTGCCATCAGCGATGCTGATTTAAATCTGAAGGAACAGGAGTGACGTGATGCCACAGGTGTAACAGAGACCAGACCAGTATCTTTTCAGAGATCAGTATTGTTCAGCAACAGGTGAACTCCAGAGGAAGTTCGGGCAAATGTTAAAAACACCCACAAGTACGCACCACTTTTACAATTTCCGAGGAAGAGTTAACTCCACCCAGAACAAAAACAAAAAAACAGCAGGCCTCTAAATTAGGATTTCGCCCCCTCCATAAAAAAGTAAAAAAAAATCTTAAGGTAAGTAACCCAATATGGCAAAGAAACAAAAAAGCAACAACCCTGAATTAATCAAGTGTGTTCGAATTTGTGGGAGTGCGGGGGAGAGACCCGTCCTACTAATCAGGTGCGTTCCAAAGCGGGGGCGGGAATGTTAAGACAGCGAAATCCCACCGAGGGGATTTAAACAAAACCGAAGCCAGCTCTCTCGCTCTCGCTCTCTCTCCGCGTTGCAGCTTCGCCAAGCGCGAACAATCCGCACCAACCCTGTCAACTCGCCTCCTAAAAGGGAGGACTTACAAGCCTATTGTGTTACAGCGAAGTGAACGCTTGAATGCAGAAGGTCAGCGGCGAGGAGGTGCAGTGTGTGTTATTCGGGTGTTGGGTTGCACAGATGTGGCCGGTGTCGCTGCGTGGTCAGTCCAGAGAAACGCTCTACCTTTGTCTGCGAAAAGCCAAGCCGCCCTCCCGCTCCCCCCCACCCCGCTCCCGCCTTTGCCCGTTGCTTTGGCAATACTCATCCTGAACACTCCTGGAATGTTAATCAAAGTGCCCCCCTCCTACTTCCCTCCCCCCCTTCCCGCTTCCAATAAATCAGAGCAAACAGCGGAGGAGGAGAGGTTGCTTTTATCCCTTCGCAACAATCAAATCCATGTGTCCGTGAGCCGCTGGAACAAGTGAGCCCAGCGCGGGACGAAGCGCCTCTTCAATTCTTCTCTCCCCACCCCCCACCCCCACAGCCAGTTACTCCAACCCGGAGCGAAACTTTACTTAACAAAACCGGGAGAATAAGGGGACCCCCCACACACACACACACACACACTCCCTGCATTCATAAGGGCAGAAGTTGCAAGAGGAAGCAAGCATTCGCTCCGCGGTGAAGCCGGATCCAAGCACCGGTTCTCTCGAAGAGCAAAAGGGAAGAAATGGTCGTAAAAACAGAGGCGGGGGGGGGCGGTGAGGAAGAGCTCCAAATGCAGAGCGCATGAAAGTGGCCAGAGAGAAATGGAAGGACAACATCTGCCCGCCCTTTCTGCGCCCCTAGAAGACGAAGGGCTGGAGCGCCTCTCGGAGGGTGCGCGCTCGGTTTAAAGGGAGCTCGTCGACCCCCTGGGAGGTGGCACGCAGAACTGCCCACCGAGAGAGTAAAGGAGACTGGCTCGGGCGGAAAGGAGAGAGGGAAGAGGGCGCATCCCAAGCCGTGCAAAAACCTTGCAGGGGCGCATCCAGGGAAGCAAAGGCTAGATGCGGGGATATGCCCGGACAAAGACCGAGCAGTTGGCAGCGCACATGGAGCGCCGGGCTGATCCGTGTTGCCACCGGGCGCCGAGGGTTCCCCGTCCGCCCCGCGACCTCTTACCTCCCCTTCCAGCTGCACAGATCGCTCGAGTACTGCGCCGTGCAGCCCCTGTCCAGCGCCAGCAGCCCCAGCAGCAGCAGGAGCGGCGAGGGCGGCGGGAGCACCAGCAGCCCAGGCGCCGGGGCTCTCCGCATGGTCCCCGCCGGGCTGCTCGGGAACAGTTCCACCAGACCAGGCGAGAGGAGAGCGCCCGCGGCCAGCGCTACATGGCGAGCGGCGAAGGCGGTCCGGATCGAGCCCTTAGCACGAGCTGCCCATCCCCTCCGTCCGGCCACTCACTCGGCACAGCAGCCTACTAGAGCTCTCTCCAAGCCGGCGCTCGCTCTGGCTTCGCACGGGGCGGGGAGCCGGGCCAAGTCAAGAAACCACCCACTCGAGCGTCAGCTGAGAAAACCCGCACTGGAGTATGCGCGGAGCGGACTCGGCTCCTCCCTGCACTGCCGAGCTGCTCTTGGAAGCACTTAGGAGAGACGGGGGGTTCTTTCTGTGTCAAGGGATTTCTTTGGAGCACGTCACAGGCTCGGATAGGTAGGAGTCAACTCGTAGGGGCCGGGGGGGGGTCTTCAGGACTCCCCCCCAAAATATTTGAGGAGGCTGCCCCGCTCCAAGTGAATGGGCATTGCCAGCCAAATAGTGATCGGTTATGCAAGGCAGGGCTTACTTGCCCACCCCCAATATTTTATCTTGATGATGGTCTGGATAAAAGGTAAAGGGACCCCTGACCATTATGTCCAGTCGTGGCTGACTCTGGGGTTGCGGCGCTCATCTCACTTTATTGGCCGTGGGAGCCGGCGTACAGCTTCCGGGTCATGTGGCCAGCATGACTAAGCCGCTTCTGGTGAACCAGAGCAGTGCACAGAAACGCTGTTTACCTTCCCGCTGGAGAGGTACCTATTTATCTACTTGCACCTTGACGTGCTTTCAAACTGCTAGGTTGGCAGGAGCAGGGACCGAGCAATGGGAGCTCACCCTGTTGCGGGGATTCGAACTGCCGACCTTCTGATCGGCAAGTCCTAGGCTCTGTGGTTTAACCCACAGCGCCACCCGTGTCCCTTTGGATGGTCTGGGACACAGGCACAAATCCAGCAAGTATGGCAGGGGGAGGGAAAGCAGCACTAACTAGATGGCACTCAGGTGTCACACCTGGACCCTGTTTTCTTATAAGGTTAATAAGCCAACAGTTGCATGAAACCACAGTCTTGCTGATGGAAACAGTACAAGAAACCTAAAATGGTGCAGAAATGGCTTGGAAGATTGGCTCTGCAATCCTACGCATCAGTCTTAGCCAACCTGTGCCCTCGAGATGCATTGGACTGCAACTCCACCAGCCCTAGTTAGCATTTGGAAGGCACCAGGCTGGCGAAGATTGCTACGCACTCATTTTGGAGTTGGCCCCATCTAGCTTAATGGATTTACCTCTGAGTAAGCATACATAGTGGGATGCGGGTGGCACTGTGGGTAAAACCTCAGTGCCTAGGACTTGCTGGTCGCAAGGTCGGCGGTTCGAATCCCCGCGGCGGGGTGAGCTCCCGTCATTCGGTCCCAGCTCCTGCCCACCTAGCAGTTTGAAAGCACCCCTAAGTGCAAGTAGATAAATAGGTACCGCTTTATAGCGGGAAGGTAAACGGCGTTTCCGTGTGCGGCGCTGGTGTTGGCTCGCCAGCTGCAGCTTCGTCACGCTGGCCACATGACCCGGAAGTGTCTCCGGACAGCGCTGGCTCCCGGTCTCTTGAGCGAGATGAGCGCGCAACCCTAGAGTCGGACACGACTGGCCCGTACGGGCAGGGGTACCTTTACCTTTACCTTAAGCATACATAGGGTTTCACTGCACATTAAGGGCAAGTAGAATGCTTAGCTGTATATAGCATGAACATTGACTATATTTGAGCTGCAATCCTGAATCTGCTTACTTGGGAGACCTATTGCAATCAATGGGTCTTACTTCTGAGTAGATATGCATGTGATTGTGATGTTGAGCCTTCTCTTTAATTATATATTGGAGGGGCTTTCTGTGCGTCCCCCAAAATGTAAGACCCTGCTGCATTGGCCACTGGCCCAACTAGTCTAGAATTGTGTCCTCACACTGGCCAACCACATGCTGATAGGAAGCATGCAAGCAGAACTTGAGCACAACAGTCCCAGAAAACTAGTTAGAGAGAGAGGGATGCTTCAGACTATGTTTATTATTTAGGACTACCTAAACCTCTGGTTCAATGCAATAAATAACCACTAATGTGTTATTTAAAATTTAGTCCCTCTTCTATCCCCTAGCCTCCCTAAAGGCCACTAGCCTGTCACAACCTGGGTTTGTTTGAAGTACTGTATTAAAAAGTGAGTTGGAGTCCTGGCATGTGATTTTTGTGGTCATTGAGTATGAGTTTTCATAGTAAAGACAGCATCCTTCTAAAAGGAGACAGTGACACAATCTACAGACTGCTTCACCTAATAATTGGACCTGTAGCATGGTACACAGCTGCTGTGTCTCTGTGGTATGGCTTACCTGAGTAAATGTGTGCCTAAGGTGGCAGTCCACAGGAGCACATTTTAACAAATAAAGAGCATGTGAAGCTGCCTTATACTGAACCAGTCCGTTGATCCATCTAGATACATAAGTTTATATTCTGATGGGCAATGGGTCTCCCAGTCCTCAGATCTTTCCCAGCCCCAATACCTGAGATCTCTGGACCTGGAGCTAGAAGGCACTCCAAATCCCTGTTCAGCAACAGAGCTGGGTCCTTCTGGGTCCTTAACAGGGATATAGGAAGCTGCCGCTGATATATCTGGCTCATCATTGTACATGCAAGCTGGCAGGATCTGAGAGAGAAATCTTCCCCAGCCCTGCCTCAAACTGCAAGGGATTGGGACCTTTTGCATGCAACACATGTGCCCTAAACTGAGCTATGGTCATGGGTGGATCAGATTTACACAGCCTCAGCAATGAGCTCACTTGCAGGTTTGGCTGCACCTTCGAGGAGCATAAACAGTTCCTGATCATAACAAAAAAGGGCTGTGTCAGCACAAGGAGGAAGGGTGCTTACTGGTTATTAAACACATTTCCAGGTGCACCAATGGGGCGCCCGCATGGATACTGATGGAAGCATTCCTGCCTCATTGCAACATAAATATTTATTAGTATATGCAAACTGGCATGGCATTGGAAGAGTGGTGAAGAGTGAACAGGTATGGTCAGGTACTAACATAATGCTTTCAGGTGGTGTGGCAGTACTACCATAAGCTTTAATTAAAACAAAAACAAAGCAAGCATTTGAACCGTATTTTTTTGGATTGGTCTAAAGCACATGCCGTAAAACTTTTTCAGGTTACGTCTGAGGGGCACGTTCACTTTTGGTTAACTTTCCGGTGTGGGTGTGGCCAAAGCAAAAGGGGCGGGGTCAAAACAAAAGGGGCAGGCCTCCCAGCATTCTCACATAGACACTCATACATATCCACACAGAAACATACACACATTGCCTGTAAAGAGAGGTGATGATTGTTCTTAATTTCTTAAGAGTGAGATGCTACAGTTCATCATACACAGGAGCCCCTCCTACAGACCCTGGAAGCAAATATTGGGTGGGAAATTAAAGCTAGTCACTGGGGAAGCCTGTACATGCTCAGAAATACTTTTCTTATGCTATTTCACCTCTGTTTCTTCATTATTTCACATCTGTGGTGTGGCCATGGATGGGAGAAGGGAGCTAAGTGGATAAAGAAAGGAGGATCGGACTCCCGAAACAACGAGCAACAAAGGAGCATCTTTACATACATCTGTGCAAGGGTGCCAACTTGAATAAAAGTTTTGGAGGGCCAGGTAAGCCCAGTCCCACATAATCAATCACAATACGCAGTGCATGCACACCCTTTGAATAGCAAAGTCCATCAACTTGGGAGGGGGCAGCCCCTCAAAAAAAAATTTGGTGGGAGGCCAAAGGCCCCTAGGAGTTGGCTCCTATGCATCTGTGCATCAGAGGCTCTGGCCAGTTTTTGTGGGGGGAAATCAGGTAGTTTCTGTAACTGTCAGTAAATCAAACTAACACATGGATTCAAACCAAACAGTGCATTTAAGTTCATGCAGAATCAGGGCCGGATTTAAGTTTGATGAGGCCCTAAGCTACTGAAGGTAATGAGGCCCTTTATATGCCCAGCTGTCCTTTGTCAACAACAAATTGTTGCTGTTTTTTGTATTGAATATATGCCATATGGTAATTTATGGACCTAATAGGTATCTAAAGCCATTTGCACAAAACAAAATATGTACATCATAGGAGCCTGCACAACACAAAACACTGTTGCTGTATGTAGGTTTTATTTTATTTGTTTTTTATCTTCTGTTTTGGAAATGGGGTTTTTTTCTTTCAGTATTTTGGGGGGTTCCAAGAGAGTGGGGCCCTAAAGCTATAGCTTGCTTAGCTTATACATAAATCTGGCACTGTGCAGAATAAGCAATGGGTAGCCCCCAGGCAGAAAATACTTCCCAAACTATGTTTTAAATGTTAATATATGTGAATGTATTCTTGTTTGAAAGGAGGGTCCGCTCCAAGAATCCAAAAAATGTTGCCTTCAACCACATGCTCCCATGCTGTTGAACTGGTAGCTGGGAACTTGGAAACCACTACACAGCAGAGATTGTCGTTGTCACCCTGTGTCCATTATCACAGTGGGGAAAGTCAATTGTGTGAACCTGTTCTTGCACTATAGTTCATCAGTGCTGGTATTCCTTTGCAAAGGAACACCCCCACCCCCCCGTCTGCCATTTACAAGCCTGGCGGTACTGTAAATGCTTGAGAAATACACACTAGCAGATTTTGGTTTGGGGGTTATGTTCCCATAGTGCTTATGACGGAGGAGGTTTCAATCTTACAACTGTATTACCATCCATTTGCGGATTATTATTTTTGTGCATGTCAATTTTGTTTTGCAAATTAGGGTTTCTGTTTGTTTGAAAAAACGAATCAGTTGATTGCAAAGCTTCAGTGTGGTTGACAGTAATTACATCAAATGATGATGCAGTAGCCGAAACATCTAATTACTGGGCTAAAACAACACTAAGAGGCATCATTCGGAGATGAAATATTGCAAAATTCTTTATTTTCTTGGGCATGTACTGTAATGAGAACTTACATTCTCAGAATCTTAATTTTTCTTAGAGGAATGTTTTATTCACCACAGGATTCTGTCTGTATGTACTGTACTACTTGGAGGGAGAGAGAACCCAAAGAAATGTGCAGGGCTTTCTTGTTCCTCCTTAGATTATCTCTGTAGTTCCTTACAAGCCTCTGTTTCACCACAGTATTATCAGACTCCACTTCTATGATAGATTGCTTATCACAAACATTGTTTCACGTATGATACAAACAGGTCCTGATCATCTAAAAGCGATGCAAAGGGGCTCCCAGAAAATGCCTACAGCTGACTGAATGATCCATTCCCTATTTCCAAGCAACTTATCTCTGCAACCAGTAATGAAATTAAAGTGAGTAGGGCCCCAATATATGTATTATTGGATGTGCCACAAAGTTTCATAGAGTTACAGCCCTGCTAAGAAATCAGCTTATCCTTCTCCAACCCATCTTTCTAAATAACTACTGCTGGAATTGACAAATCCTGCCCTGGATTTTAATGCCTAGGCAAAACTGACAATTGAAGAAGCAAAGACATGGGATTTGATCCACAAATACCATGGAGCTCCCCCAGATCTCCCTCCTATACTTTAGTATTTGTACTCTCCTACTAAGTGACTGAGGAAAAGGTCTTTCATTCTCCACCTCACTTTTTGAAAATTAATGCCATGGAGCAAGAAAATGACCAAACCTGTGTTTGTATCTGAGTGCTCACATGCAATTTTTGAAGTATGCGAACCTGCATTTGGGAGACTTACAAGATATGCACACTTTCCTCCCCCTTCTGCTTTCATGTGCACTATTGTGGCTTCCCCACATGCAATTCCATAGCTTAAGATGGCATCTATCAACATATTTTAGCTGCAAGAAGGAAAGAGAACCTCCATGTTCAGAGGCAATTATACCTCTGAATACTAAACACCGGGTGGGGGGGGATATTGAAGGTTCCATGCAAGGTGAGAAAGACAGAAAGAGCAAAACAGGAGATACACACAAAGAACCCGACAGACTGCAAAACGAGAGACATGTTCTCTAAAGCGACAGATACTAGGATTGCACAAACACCAGCGGTCTGTCTGGTCCTCCCCATGGTGCCAGATAGACTGCTAGCGTCTGTTGCAATCTGCTTCAGCTGTTTCATAGTAATCAAAGAGCTCTCCTGGAGAACGAGTCCAGGGTTCTGAAATGCATTGAACTGTAATAAACTGATGTGTTTGGTGCTTTTGAGAACAAGTTTCTCTTTTTGCATTCTTTCTGTTACTTCCATGCAGTGCGTACAGCCTTCCCAGAATCATGTGGTACTTATTGATATTTTCTTGTGAACATTTTGTATTGCTTTATTGCAAATCGCTTAAGAGGTTTTTCTGATTAAGCAGTACACAAATCTTGTAATTTTTTTTAAAAATGTGACTGGCTGGAAATATTATGCTGGAATGGACGACAAGTTGATCCAGCAGGATTCTTCTTAGACATGCAATGGAGAAAGCAGCGCACAGCAGCTTTGGCCATGGACTAGTATAATCAGTCAAGTCCTTTATCACCCATTGCTGTGATTTGTTGGGTCTTGAAGTTAGTTCATATGAACACTTTGCTCTGTGGTATGTTGGTTATTTTTTCTATTGTGAATTACCTTTTGCTTTCATTCGACCTAGCATAAATTGGTGCATGTTGCAGTTGGGTGTGTGCTTTTGCAAACGTAGTGAATTGCATAACAGCAGTCCTAATACGGGTGAATTGATCATGTGTTTTCCCCCCTTTGCTCACTGGTGTAATTCCATTCATGTTTGAGAGTTTGGTTGTTCATGGGGTATTAGGGTGGCTTGGGGGCAAATAGCAAATTCTGGTTTATATACACAATCTATGGGCAGGCTAGCATTTTCCAATTTAGTGCCATCCAGATGTTTTGGACTACAACTCCCATTGACCCCAACCAGTATGGTTGTGCTGCCTGGAGTTGATGGCAGTTGTAGTCCAAAAACATCTGGAGGACACCAGGGTTGATAAAGGCTGTGTCGGGACCTCCTGTAATATGCCTCTATTCATACCAAGCTACAGAAGTAGGGACAGGATTTAACACAGAAATTGCATTCCCTTTTCTCTCAATCCCATCACAAAAAGGTGGAAATGATATCTCTGTATAAAGAAAGACAAAAAATGACGAGGAAAGAAACAGAAGCATAACAGTGCAATCCTAGAAAAAAGTCCTATTGATCGCAAACAGATTTTAGCGTAAACATGCCAGAGTGCACTGTGAGGCTTTGATCTTATCTTACTGTACAGTGGTACCTCGGGTTACTTACACTTCAGGTTACATACGCTTCAGGTTACAGACTCCGCTAACCCATAAATATTACCTCAGGTTAAGAACTTTGCTTCAGGATGAGAACAGAAATTGTGCTCCGGCGGCACAGTGGCAGCAGGAGGCCCCATTAGCTAAAGTGGTGCTTCAGGTTAAGAACAGTTTCAGGTTAAGAACGGACCTCCGGAACAAATTAAGTACTTAACCCGAGGTACCACTGTAACTTGCAAGAAGACACACAGGCACCTGGGACTTTACAGAAGGAAAGGATCAGACAACAGAAGTAACTTAGTCTAAATTTCCGTTTCATTATTTTAGGGGGTGGGTTCTGTATAATTCCCTATATAAATGTTTTCTTTTCATTTTGACAATAACTGTTATTTAAAGAAATAAAGTATAAAAAAAATCCCCAGGAATCTCATGTTCAGATAAGTTAAGACGAGCAATAAAGTGAAGATGAGCAATTGTTTGGCCTTACATCTAGTAAACATTTATTTCCTGTTTTAAAAAGTTTTAAGTTTTGCAACTGTCAAGGCATATATTTATCTTGCTGTCCGTACTCCTGGCGGGCTTACTTTTTCATTTTCTTCAACTTCTCTTCCCTGCATGCACATTGCAACCTGCGGACTTCAGCGCAGGAGATCAGAAGCACTGCAGATAAACAATGTCTTATAATTTCAGATACTCAGCAAGGGGCTCTAAAAGCAGATCTCTAGACCAAAGACCAAATCCATCTCACATACCACAAAGTTACATTGACAACCGCGTTCTCAAAAACCCTTGGCATGATTTAGACAAAACAAAAGCAACAGTCAGCTAAACAAATGTGATACTTAACCAAAACAGAGCACTGCAACAATGGGAGAAAAATAATCTTGCACTATAACAGTTGCTAAGTTACCAGGAAGGAAGAAGAAATATTTTTGCAGCTATAAGAGACCGTGGCATGTAAATTTGTTTAATGGTACTGATATTGCATGCTTACTTTTCAAGTGCATATCTGAAGAACATCAGAAAAGTTCAAGGGCTTGTGAAGGCTCTACAGTTTAAGATGGCTGAAATCAATGGATACCCAACAGCTTAATGCTGTGGTCATGGGCAGGTTTCCAGAGCTTCCACCATATCTGGATTTGTCTATCTGCTTTTGAGATTACTGCTGAGTTACAAGGGAACCTGTTTGCACAGTAATGAGTTCACCTGTGCCAAAAAGTTGTTCCTCGTGTGCCAAAAGTTGAGCTACTGAGCAATGGCCATTGCATTACATTTTTGAAAACCACCCTGTGATCCTCGGATGAAATTTATTCAATCAATCAATCAATCAATCAATCTTTTATGCCTTCAGCAATGACCATTAGGAAACCAATGACTGAAAGACAGAGCCAATGAGTCAGCACAAAGAACCTTTGGCATAGGAATGAGGGACCCATTTGAATGATGTCATTGGGTGATTTCATCCTGTGATTTCATATCTGTAAGATTGGCATCTGTAATAGAAGGAACTGCAAATGTGTTCAAACTAATTTCTAAGTATATGGCTCTAGCTCAGTGTTTCCCAACCGGTGTTCCGCGGCACACGAGTGTGCCGTGAGACGTTGCCTCGTGTGCCGCGAGATGCCTGGAGGGAGGCGGGCGAGTCGGGCGGCGAGAGGCGGGGCGGCGGCGGCGAGGAGAGGCCGCGCCTCCTGCTGCTGCCTGGCGCTCCTCCTCGCAGCCGGCAGCGCTGCCTGGGCGCCTCCGCGCGACTCTGCCTCGCTGGGTTTGGTCTCCCAGCAGAGACGGGTCACACGCGCCTCTCCCTCCCTCCCTCAGCCTGCGCGGAGGGAGAGCCAGAGAGAGGCATCGCTCCTGCGCGGCGGGAGAGGGAGCTTGGCGCGGCCGCGGTTTTTATAGGGCGCCCGGCGCGCACCAGCTCGATAACGGGCACCGGCGCGGCGGGGGGCGCCGGGCCGGGGGAGGGGGGCGGCCGGCCTGTCTCCTTGGCAACCCCATTGAGCAGCGCCGGCTCCCCCGGGAGGGCCATCCCCCTGCGCCGCCGATCGCCAACACCGCCGACGCTGTGGCTGCCCGAGCCCGAGCCCGAGCCCGAGCCCGACCCGGAGCCCGAGCCCGAGCCTGAGCCCGAGCCCAAGCCCGTCAGTCAGTCAGTCAGGAAGGAAGGAGAAATGGGGAGGGAGACGAGGGAGGAAAATTGCGCGCAGGGTGAAGAAAGGAGAAGGGCGAACGAGACGAGCTTCCAACCCAAAAAAGGGCTGGAAGACTGGGAGGATGCAGGATCGGGAAAGAAAGCGACGCCTTCCCCGCCCGCGACGTCGCCCGCTTGTCATTGGCAGCGCAGCGGGCGCCCAGAGGGGCTGGGCACCGGCGCAGGGCCGCTCCGCAGCCGCGGAGGACAGCTGCGCGGCTAGCAAGGTGCGCCGCGTAGAGCGCGGCCCTTGTGTGGCCCGGTGGCCAGGCAAGCTCGGGCGGGGACCCCCATGCGAATCTAAGACGGGAGAAGAGGGCAGAGCAAAGGGGGTCCCTTCCCCAACCTCCGGCTCTGAGACTTCCCTGAGCCCCAGAAAAGCGAAAGGATTTCCCCTTTTTTTATATATAAATATTTTATTAAGTTTTCAAATACAAAGTTAGAAACATACACTGAAGAAAAAAGTAAAAGAACAAGAAAAAGAAAAAAGAAAAAGAAGAAAAGAAAACCAACCATTCAACACATTTTTTATATAACTAACTGGACTTCCTCGCATCTCCCTTACCCTGCATTCTTTATAATAAAGATATCAGCAAATTATTACCTTGTTTCGTACCTTATTTTGTACTTTTCAAATACTATACCTCTAAATTTAACATACTTTTCATCAGTTACTTATATCTTAAATTAAACATAGTATTACCTTAGATTTTGACCTTTTCTTACTTAAAATATAATTTCCTGTTTCCCAAATCTAATTGCTGAAGCTATAGTTTCCGAATCGTGTAAATTTTTAACATTCATACAACTTATATTGCTTTTGGAAATAGTCCTTAAATTTTTTCCAGTCCTCTTCCGTTGTTTCTTCTCCCAAATCTCGGATTCTGCCAGTCATTTCAGCCAGTTCCATGTAGTCCATCAATTGCGTCTGCCACTCTTCCAGCGTGGGCAAATCTTGTGTCTTCCAATATTTTGCGATAAGTATTCTTGCTGCTGTAGTTGCATACATAAAGAAAGTTCTATCCTTCTTTAACACTTTCTGGCCAACAATGCCCAAGAGGAAGGCCTCTGGTTTCTTGGGAAAGGTATACTTAAATACCTTTTTTAACTCATTATAGATCATTTCCCAGAAGGCCTTCACTTTTGGACAAGTCCACCAGAGGTGAAAGAATGTCCCTTCAGCCTCCTTACATTTCCAACATTTATTATCAGACAGGTGATATATTTTTTGCAAGCTTGACTGGGGTCATGTACCACCTATAAATCATTTTCATAATATTTTCCTTCAAGGCATTACATGCCGTGAATTTCATTCCGGTGGTCCATAACCTTTCCCAGTCCTCAAACATGATGTTATACCCAATATCCTGAGCCCATTTTATCATGGCTGATTTGACTGTCTCATCCTGAGTGATTTTCTCTTCAACCTGCCCTCCATCCTCTTGCGGAAAACTCTTTGCCTGCCCTGCCCGTATCTCGTTTTTGCTTTTTAATTCCACACACGCACCCTTCAGACTTCGTGGCAATCGGGCGCGCGGGTGCGTTTCCTAAGAGAGTGAGGACCCCCGCCTCCTCCCCACCTGCTCCCTCGCCAGCCAGCCAGCCGCGCGCCCTAGCCGGAGAGCCCCGGCCGTCCCCGTCGCGCAATCGGCTGGATCTCCCTTCAGCAGGCCGTGCTCACAACTCGGCCCAGGGACCCCCAGCAGCGGATCTCCGGCCCAGCTGAAGAATCCGGCAACAAGCCCCCTCCTCCCCAATCGCTCCGCCGAAATATGCTCCAAAACCCCCCAGATAGGCCGCCGGCCGCCAAGTCTCGTGGCGCCCTGAGCGAGGGTCTCTCCCCAACACCGCCACCTTGAACTGCGTTCTCCCGGCTACCCGAGCGAACCAGCGGCAGGACCCCGGTATGGGCCCCCCCAATATTTTTTATAAGTCGGCGCCCCTGATAACTATAACTCGTGGTTCTGATGTCCCAACGCTCCCACGGGGCACATTTCATTCAGGCGGAGGAGGGGGTCGTTGGCTAACGGCCAACAGGCAGAAAGGACTGTCCAACAATGCGATTATCCACACACACACATCTGATCCATGGATTAACATCAAAATCCTTGCATTAAAGCTCACTCCTAAGGAACCAGTGGGTCATTAGGCCTTCAGATGCACTTTGAACAAAGAGATGTTCAAAGGGAAAGCTGCTTTTAATAACACTGCTTTTGCAGGTACTATTGGTCTGGGTCTCATCCAGCATCTTTTCAGTACACCCAGTTAGGATTCAGCAGTCCAGTTGTACACTCTTGGGTATTCAGCATTAGCTTAAGGCGTGCAATAATCACATGCCCACTTTTGCAGCATCTTCATAGCATCCCAAGTCACTCTTGGAATGCTCTCTTTATCATACCCTGCAAGTGTTTACTTGTGTAACACATCCTACCATATCTTGCAGAGAAGCACTTCAGAGAGGGCCAAAACCCCCCACACTTGGTGCCATTTTCATCTACACATGCAGCAGAGTAAGTTGACCCAGAATAGTACCAATTCAGATGGCAGATGGGAGAATGACAGTGCTGAATGCTTTCCCATGTAGAACAGTCCCTGCAAATAAAAACCTAGCATATTTGGAAGAGGGATGCTAGCCTAACCATTACCTTCTATGCTGTTACTATTTTTTTTATTTTTTTTTTACATAAGTAAAAAGTGACCTTTCCCCATCTGGCATGGTGGTGTGCCTCGAGATTTTTTTCATGGAACAAGTGTGCCTTTGCCCAAAAAAGGTTGGGAAACACTGCTCTAGCTAAGCCTCTTTCCCAACAGATGTGGGTAAAATCCAAATCCAGTAGAATT